CACACAAATGATGAACTCTTTACGTCTATGGAAATTACTTTTGTCGCTTTGAAAAACAAACAATTGATTCAGATTATTATCATTACAACTATTGTCATTATTAATACTAATATTATTATTACTACTATTATTGTCATTATTGTTATTATTATCATTATTATTATTATTTTCCACATTATTCACCTTCTTTTATACTTATACAGCGGCTCGTCTTTGGTGGAATTCCGACTGTATCTAAACGTTCTCGAGTCACTGTCCGGTTGAAAATTGTATGTTACCACCGAATACGAGGACTGAAGCAGATTTTCTGAAACCACGTGCACCATTCAAACTGGCTGCCTTCAACGTTCGCACATTTATGCAGGTCGGACAACAGATAGGGTTGGCTATGTCTTTGGAAAGTCTTAATATCGACGTGTGTTGTCTATCCGAGACCCGTATTCAAGACTCTGGCGAAGTACTACAAATTCGATCTCCATCTGTCGCTTCGAAAAGCTTGTTTTACGTGCGTTTATCCGGGGACCCTGTGGCATCGTCTGGTCTTGCTGGCGTTGGTGTCGCACTAAGCGCTAGAGCTGAGGCAGCACTAGTCGATTGGATCCCCATTAACAGTGGGTTATGTGCTGTTAGATTAGAGAGTTCCATCAAAGCGAGGAGAAATCGGCGTGAGAAACGATGTATTTTCGTCATCTCCGCCTATGCCCCGATAGATTGCAGCCCGGATGCAATCAAGGATGAGTTTTACCACCAGTTATCAGTTCTTCTCCAGAAAGTGCGTTCGACAGATATTGTAGTACTAGCCGGAGACTTGAATGCTCAGGTCGGGCGTCTAGGCACAGAAGAGAGTCGTTTAGGTGGCCGATGGGGACTCGTTGGTCGCAGGTCAGATAACGGGGACCGTCTACTGCAACTTTGCACAGACCACAACCTGTTTCTGGCTAGCACTAACTTTCGGCACATTCATCGCCGATGTGCCACCTGGCGTCCTCCCTCTGCATCCCAAGCCTGGACTCAGATTGATCACATCGCGATCAGCTACCGCTGGCGTGGTTGTGTACAAGACTGCCGCTCCTTTTGGAGTACCTATCTGGACTCTGACCATGCCTTGGTCTGCGCCAATCTTGCCTTACTTTTCAGTGGACAACGAAGTGAACGCCATCAACGGATTGATGTTAGCAAGCTGGTTGCAACTTCTGTTGCAAGTAAGTATCGAACCGAGCTAGCCTCTAGGCTAGCTACCACTCCACCGAAAAGTATAGATGAGCATTGGTTGCAATTGCATGACGCCATGAAAATGGCGGGAACAGTCAGTTGTGGGTTTGCGAAACGTCCCGCTTTTAAGCACTGGGTTTCTTCTGGTTCCTTACAACTCATTGAAGCCCGTCGGTCTACTCCGGGTGACCGTGAGTTTGACCATAAACGAAGGATTTTACGTAAGGAAATCGGGCAAAGCTTGCGTAAGGACCGAGAAGCCTGGTGGTCGATGCGTGCTAATGAGCTGGAAGCAGCAGCTGCATCTGGTAACTACCGGAAGCTCTTCCAACTCATCCGAGCCACTGGCAACACGAAGTCTGGTGTGAGTGAAACAATCTGTAAGGATGACGGGATGTCAATCACCAACATCCATCGACGTCTTGGACGATGGGCAGAATTCTTCGAAGGACAGTTCAACTGGCCTGTTGCTCCGGCAACATCGGTCAGATTGTCCTGCCCTCCATGGCCGGTGACGACTGATCCACTAAATGAGGCGGAATTCAGCAAGGAACTCCATCTCTTGAAGCGCTACAAATCACCTGGCCCAGATGACTTACCTCCGGCTCTTTCAAAAGATGGTGGTGACTTTCTGACTAAGGAATTGACGACGTTGTTTACAAAGGTTTGGGAGCTAGAGAGTGTACCAATGTCATGGAATGAGTCGATAGTTGTCCCTATCTTTAAAAAGGGTTCACGTCGTTCCTGTGACAACTATCGGGGGATAGGTCTACTTCCGATTGCGTCCAAGCTATTGGCTTCCGTCGTACTTCGTAGGTTGTTCAAAACCCGAGAAAGATTGACTTGCGGGGATCAGGTTGGTTTTCGTTCTGGTCGAGGATGTATTGATCATATCTTCACCCTCCGCCAAATGTTAGAACACCGCCATACTTATCACAGGCCAACAATCGTAGTGTTTCTTGACATCACGGCTGCCTTCGATTCGTTGGACAGGGCTGTTCTCTGGGATTTTCTATTGAAGAAGGGTGTGCCTGAGAAGTTTATTAACATCCTAAAAGCCCTATATACAAACACCTCAGGCAGAGTGAGGGCATACAACCACCTTTCTCCATTGTTCCATTCGAGCAGTGAGGTTAGACAGGGTTGCCCAATCTCACCATTCCTCTCCAACTTTGCCATCGATGACATTCTGGAAACAGCTCTGATGAATGTAAGTAATGGTGGTGTGGATCTGTTGCCTGGAGAAAGACTTCTCGACCTTGAGTATGCGGACGATATTGTCTTACTGTGCGATAATGCCCAAGGCATGCAATCTGCACTTAATCAGTTGGCAATCAATGTCCGTAGTTATGGTATGTGCTTTGCACCTTCGAAGTGCAAAGTACTTCTACAAGACTGGCAGGATTCTAATCCTGTACTCACCCTGGATGGTGAGCAGATAGACGTAGTTGAGAAGTTCGTGTATCTGGGTAGCTGCATAAGTGCTGGTGGGGGTGTGAGTGATGAGATCAATGCACGAATAGTGAAAGCCAGAGCGGCTTATGCCAATCTGGGCCATCTATGGCGCCTTCGTGATGTTAGTCTGGCCGTAAAAGGCCGGATCTACAACGCGTCGGTGAGAGCAGTTTTGCTCTATGCTTGTGAAACCTGGCCTCTCCGAGTTGAGGACGTTAGACGACTCTCTGTGTTCGATCATCGCTGTCTCCGAAGGATTGCTGACATTCAGTGGCAACACCATGTCAGTAATGCAGAGGTTCGGCATCGTGTGTTCGGGCACAGAGATGATAACTCAATTGGTGTCACCATCTTGAAACACCGACTTCGGTGGCTTGGACATGTTCTACGAATGTCGTCCCAGAGAATTCCACGTCGTGCATTATTTGCCGACTCTGGGACTGGTTGGAAGAAGCGGAGAGGTGGTCAGTGCATGACATGGTGTCGTGGCATGAAAAAAAAGCTGCAAAGGACTGGCTTGTGTTGGTCCTTCACGACTTCCTGGTTGGGGTCCGAGAGATGGTGCTACACAGTGGCTAGAGACATTATCAGATATGGCTCAGAATAGAAGCCAGTGGCGATCCTGCTGTAACCTTCTTTTACTTTCTTCATAAAAAGTGGTTGTGTCTCCTTTACCTGAAAGATTTCTTCTGATTGTACCTCTTCGTCATTACTCTCTTTTTCTTTTGCGTTCCTTAGTTTTTTTTCTTTTTTTTTCTTTTTACTTCTCTTCGAATTCCCATTGTTTTGTGTGGCGCATATATATTGGCGCTCTCTTGTACCAATATTTATGTGTTCAAATAAATAAATAAATAAACGGAATTAGTACTTTTACAAAAACAAAATTTTCATATATATACGATTGTACAGCTTGATAATAAATTCGTTGAAAAGAGATCCCTTCGCTGAAATTCGTGTTTTAATTTTAATGTTTAAATGGGAATTATCTTTCAATTGAAGAAACTATTTTGTCTAGCACAACATTTCTTACTGTTTTTACGTCTTCACTATGAACATGCCCATTTGATTGATAGGATCGATAATCTTTTTTTAAAATCAATGTCTCCCTATATGAAATTTCTTAAAATATTTAAATATCTTCTGTTTGTATATCGGTTGCTTCGAATAAACGTGCTTACTTATTTTTTTTAATTGGATAATGTGAAAACATATTTTCTACAGTCGACATGTATGTGATATTTACTAAGACATAAGTAGTATATAACACCAATCAGAAGTGGAATACCTGTCAGCAGAGGGTTGAGAATATTGAAATGAAGAAAACAGAAAGGGAAACATTAAGGGATTGAAGATTGGAAGAATCATGAAGGATGTATAGGACATTTGATGGAAGATTTGCAAATGAACTATTGAATGTATGGTTTTCACATTCTGCGAAATAATTCTGTAATTTTGTGTTCAACAATAAACTGATTATCCCGAGCCAAGTCTGGTTTATTACACACTTTTTTCTCAACCAGTGAATCTCTAATATATAAACCCTGTCTCATTTAACAATGTTCAGAGATCAGAATAAAATATTCTTGGGGATCTCGATAAATGTGGGTTACCTCTTAGTGTATGAATCAGCAAAATTTCACTGAAATATATCATTTATCAAGTTAGGTGCGGTAAAACTAATAAGTGGAATCAGTCCATGAAGTGATTGACCGCTGAACTAGGCTGTGTTGACAGGTGCAGACTACCTGTCTGCTTTTCGTTCATTGACCGCACTCAGTAGTTGATGTTGAGTGGAAGGCGTCATAATGTCACAATGACGCAGATAAATTCACTCTTCGTCTTCCCTTAGGTCCTAAATTTTAAAACGATCTCATATTACTAGTTCATTCTGTCTTCTCGAATCATGCTGTCTATGTTTAGTGTTTTCTACTGATGCTGTTACTACTTCCATTACTCTGACATTTGTCTTGATATTTTCACCCAAATATCCTGACATAGTGTAGCAGCTTGAACCGATGCATATAATGGTCACGTTCTATATTGTTTATGACTAACTGATATTATTTTTCTTAGTATTTAGTCAGATATTTATGTATCCAATCTACTTTATATTCGACTTTGAGCTATACCATTTGTATGAAGCCTCATAATACTAGCCAATTTCTTAAACTGAGGTAGGTAAAGAGGATTTCGAACATGTGACCTACTAGGTTGAACGAAAGTTTAATGCATTAAACCAGTAAACTAAAATTATATATATTGTATAAAGACAAATTTTCATTATGATCGACCAAAATGTTTTAGGTCTTTTGTTGTGCTCATTCTAAATTTAGGTACTGATTGGCTAACAATAGAACAAAGTTGTGGAATGGCTGAATTATTTATATGTAAGTCATTTAGTTACTTATTGTTTGTTTTCTTGTAAAATATTTTTACTTGTTTGCGAAATATTTAGTGATAAAATGATAGTTGCACTTATGTACTTGTTTAACATTATAACATTACAAAAGCCAGCCCCCAAATGCCCTGGTATGCCCGAGAGTGGGATGGGCCCGTTCTCCCTCTCGAAATACTCTCACACGGCCACGCGTATACAGCCTCTACCAGGGAAGTCCTACTCACTGCCTTCTCGTGGCAGGGGTGTTGTCTACAAAAATCAGAGTACGAAAAACGAATGTTCAGGTGCATTAACCGGATCCCGAAACAATGGTGCACATGGGCTCCAGTATCCTGCAGGAACAAATGGCGTATGAATCAATCGTTGGTCACTGGCTACCATGGGACTGCATTTCCTCACGATCCTCCATTGCCTTGTGGGTTAGACTTCTAGGTCGAAGGCTCAGGAAGTGGCACCCTAAGAAAACCACCTGCTTCGGTCTGGGCACCCGGGTAGTATCACAACCCTCACACAAATAAAATGAAAATGACGATATTTACCGAAAATTCTATTCTCGCTTCGATTTACAGTCAAAAAATTCATATTACTATCGTTATTATTATTATTATTATTATTATTATTATTATTATTATTATTATTATTATTATTTACTATGTCGTTTATTCACTCTCTTTTATTCCCACTTTATGTATCCTTATTTTTCGACTTATACAGCAGCTCGTCTTTGGTGGATATTCGACTCTATCTAAACGTTCTCGAGTCACTGCCTAGTTGAAAATTGTATGTTACCACCGAATATGAGTACTGAAGCAGTTTTTCTGAAACCACGTGCACCATACAAACTGGCTGCCTTCAACTTCCACACACTTATGCAGGTTGGACAAAAGATAGGGCTGGCTAAGTCTTTGAAAAGTCTTAATATCGACGTTTGTTGTCTATACAAAACCCGTATTCAAGACTTTAGTGAAGTACTACAAATCCCCTCTCCATCTGTTGCTTCGAAAAGCTTGTTTTACGTGCGTTTATCCGGAGACCCTGTGGCATCTTCGTCTGGTCTTGCTGGCGTTGGTGTCGCACTAAGCGCTAGAGCTGAGGTAGCACTAATCGATTGGATCCCCATTAACAGTCGGCTATGTGTTGTTAGATTAGAGAGTTCCATCAAAGTGAGAAGAAATCGGCGTGAGAAACGATGTATTTTCGTCATCTCCGTCTATGCCCTGACAGATTGCACCGGGTTTCTTCAGGCTCCGTACAACTCATCGAAGCCCGTCGGTCTACTCCGGGTGACCGTGCGTTTGACCACAAACGACGACTGTTACGTAAGGAAATCGGGCAAAGCTTGCGTAAGGACCGAAAAGCCTGGTGGTCGGAGCGTGCTAATGAGCTGGAAACAGCAGTTGCATCTGGTAACTACCGGAAGCTCTTCCAACTCATCCAAGCCACTGGCAACACGAAGTCTGGTGTGAGTGAAACAATCTGTAAGGATGACGGGATGTCAATCACCAACATCCATCGACGTCTTGGACGATGGGCAGAATTCTTCGAAGGACAGTTCAACTGGCCTGTTGCTCCGGCAACATCGGTCAGATTGTCCTGCCCTCCATGGCCGGTGACGACTGATCCACTAAATGAGGCGGAATTCAGCAAGGAACTCCATCTCTTGAAGCGCTACAAATCACCTGGCCCAGATGACTTACCTCCGGCTCTTTCTAAAGATGGTGGTGACTTTCTGACTAAGGAATTGACGACGTTGTTTACAAAGGTTTGGGAGCTAGAGAGTGTACCAATGTCATGGAATGAGTCGATAGTTGTCCCTATCTTTAAAAAGGGTTCACGTCGTTCCTGTGACAACTATCGGGGGATAGGTCTACTTCCGATTGCGTCCAAGCTATTGGCTTCCGTCGTACTTCGTAGGTTGTTCAAAACCCGAGAAAGATTGACTTGCGGGGATCAGGTTGGTTTTCGTTCTGGTCGAGGATGTATTGATCATATCTTCACCCTCCGCCAAATGTTAGAACACCGCCATACTTATCACAGGCCAACAATCGTAGTGTTTCTTGACATCACGGCTGCCTTCGATTCGTTGGACAGGGCTGTTCTCTGGGATTTTCTATTGAAGAAGGGTGTGCCTGAGAAGTTTATTAACATCCTAAAAGCCCTATATACAAACACCTCAGGCAGAGTGAGGGCATACAACCACCTTTCTCCATTGTTCCATTCGAGCAGTGAGGTTAGACAGGGTTGCCCAATCTCACCATTCCTCTCCAACTTTGCCATCGGCGAAATTCTTAAAACAGCTCTGATGGATGTAAGTAATGACAGTGTGGATCTGTTGCCTGGAAAAAGACTTCTCGACCTTGAGTATGCGGATGATATTGTCTTACTGAGTGATAATGCCCAAGCCATGCAATCCGCATTCAATGAGCGTCCGTAGTTATGGTATGTGCTTTGCACATTCGAAGTGCAAAGTACTTTTACAAGACTGGCAGGATTCTAATCCTGTACTCACTCTGGATGGTGAGCAGATAGAAGTGGTCGAGAAGTTCGTGTATCTGGGTAGCTGCATAAGTGCTGGTGGTGGCGTCAGCGAGAGCAGTTTTGCTCTATGCTTGTGAAACCTGACCTCTCCGAGTTGAGGATGTTAGACGACTCTCTGTGTTCGATCATCGTTGTCTCCGAAGGATTGCTGACATCCCATGGCAACACCATGTTAGTAATGCAGAGGTTCGGCATCGTGTGTTCGGGCCGAGTGACGATAATCCGATTGGTGTCACCATCTTGAAACACCGACTTCGGTGGCTTGGACATGTTCTACGAATGTCGTCTCAGGGAATTCCACGTCGTTCATTATTTGCGGACTCTGGGACTGGTTGTAAAAAGCGGAGAGGTGGTCAGTGTATGACATGGTGTCGTGGTATGAAAGAAAGCTGCAAAGGGCTGGCTTGTGTTGGTCCTTCACGACTCCCTGGCTGGGGTCCGAGAGATGGTGCGACACAGTGGCTAGAGACGTTATCAGATATGGCTCAGAATAGAAGCCAGTGGCGATTCTGCCGTAACCTTCTTTCAATATCTTGCTTTTTCCTTTGTGTTTGTTGAGGCCTACTACTGTAGAGGCTGCTACTACTCTTGACTTCATCTACATTTGCCCGTTGCTGCGACTTTGTCGTGTTGGTCGAGCTTGCCTGTCGAGATGAACCAGTCGAGCTATACTACCACGCCACACAGGTAGGTTTAAGAACGGTAAGGCTAAAAGTAGCTAACTCAAGGTACGAGGGCAAAGTCGCACTGCTGACTGTACAGAGGTGTGACGGCAGTAAAGTGTTTCCTTCAGACAACCAGCATGGCAGCGATGCTGCCTTCCCACAAGGAGTAGTGGGGTTAGGAAAGGTCGACCTCGGAAATGCACGCTTCGGGTTATCCCACGGATATCCGTCTCCGGCGGTATGGTCCCAACATGTACGGGGCTAACACGGAAATTGCTCAAGCAGTTGTCTCTTGGGCACTGTGGTCACGCTCTCAGGTAACTATTACCAATTCTAACCCATTTTCGTTTCCACATACCGTGTTGTGGGCAACTGGGAAGTGATAACTGCTCTCATACCTCTAACAGCATTCAAGACCACTTTATTCATAATCAACCCCCTTCTTCAATTCCTATTATTGGGTTACGAAAAATTAATGGATTTCTACTAAGTCTATTGCACTGATGGATTATCGTAAATATTCCATCAGGCTCTGAACATGATGTAAAACGAAAACAAATCAGATATAGGTTAAGCAAAAGTCTAAAGAACGACCCTGAGCAGTGGTGGGCAACGAAAGCTAAAGAGATGGAAAAGGCAGCGGCTGTAGGTAACGCCAGACAGCTTTTCAGACTTATAAAAGAAACTGGAATTAATAAGTCAAGTGTAAGTGAGACGATCAGTCCAGACGTTTAGAACGATGGACAGAGCACTTTGAGGAGCAGTCCAGTTGGCTTTCAACTACTCTACAACTACATACAGTTCCCAAACAGCCTGAATGGAACATTGAAGTAGGCCCCCCGATTGTAATTGAAGTTCAAAAAGCCATAGCTAATCTGAAACGAGGAAGAGCATCTGGTCCAAATAGATTGACTTCAGAGGTCCATAGGCATGGTGGTCCTATTTTAGCGACTATGTCGACTGATATTTTAGCTAAAATCTTGGAGTGGGACGTCATCCCATCTGACTGGTCACAATCACTGATTGTCCCAATATTTAAGAAAGTGTCCAAATCATCCTGTGATAACAATAGAGGTATTAATTTGACTAACATAGCATCTAAAATATTAGCCCCAATAATTATTGGACGCCTAACAAAGATTCGTGAACTGCAAACACGAGAAAATCAGGTATGCTTCAGACCTAGTCGTGACCTCATCGACCACATTGGAATTGGGTATTTACAAATATTTCCTCATACGTTTTCACACACAAGAGAAAAGCAAGCAATACACAATCTCATTCATAACACATCAGTCGTTCAACTCGGACAATGTTCATATATATATAGCGTTTGTTAATGCAAGTGTTGATTCCGAGCACTGCTTAGTTGTATTTCCTCATTTCCGTAGCTATTTGATTGGTCTTCCCAGTTTCCCACATTGTCCGAACATTCCATGTACCTCTATTAATTTTTACCATAATTGTTAGAAGGGACGTCGGCCTCGTGATTTCCGAAGAATCTCGGCTTTCGTCATAATTCTTCTGAATGAAGATCCTACAACTCCCATGGCAGGGTTTTAGTGGTTTAAATGATTTTTTCTAGTTAGCGTTTTGTAGCAATTATTTTTCCCTACGGGATGTGGTTGTTGATTCCATGCTCAACCCTCCTCCTTTATTCGAACTTGGGACCGATAGTAACTCTAGAAAAGCTACAGACAGAGTTTCCTGGAAGAAAACCTTGCGAAAAATACACGGATTATTATGAAAAATAAATTGTCATAGTTCAGATCACCAACTGAACTTGGTTAACAAACATGTTATACAAAGAAGTGTCATACAACTGTTTCTTCGTACTGTGGGGCTTCTCAGCAATGCACGTCTAGCACTCTACTGAAGGACTGAATCTGTGACTTTCTAGTCTCTGATCAAGCAATGAACAATTAGACTACTATGTTGACTAGTGATAAATTTTGAGTTTGCTGAGGAGACGTGATGAGAGGATTTCAACTAAATCAGTTTTGAAGAGTTATTAACCTACTACATTATACGATAGTTGATCGATGTCGCGGATTTGTTGAGGTTAGTAATGTAAACCATTAGATACAAAACAGTAGTCTATAAGTTAAGCTCTCCCCATGAGAGCTGAAAGTTCTCGATTCAATCCGTGGTGTGGCGTTGGACGCGCACTGCCGATCAAGCCTTATACTGAGACATAATAACTACTTAGTGTTTCATGATTTTCAGTGGTTGTCTAACTTCGGTTAGTTCGTGATACCAGCTATATAATCAGTTAATTTCCGCAATCCCCTCCTCCTTATTGATCATTTATCAACTAAAAAATATGTAATTTCACTATAAATGTTATTATTAACGTTTTTGTCAAACTAAGCTATATTTTGAAGAGTTTTTCAGATATTATTGTATTTATTCGTATTTTATGCTTTACTCTTTCAAAATTATTTATATTAATCATCGAATTTAATAAGATAATATAATTCACATGTTATTTATGAACATTAATTTCTTGGTATAAGTAATTCATCTTATCTTCATCCTTAAAAATTGAAACTGTTTTGTTTGTTAACGTAAAACACTTTATGTCCTTATAAATCAACCAACTATTATCGATTTCGTAATCATAAAGAAGTCACAACAACTCGAAATATAAGATAATACATGTAATACCTACTAATAAACTATTTTTTGTGAATGTATAGAAAGGAATGTTGTAATGTATATTTAAAAGAAATATTTATCATTAATATGTGTTTCCTTTGGGAATATCAGAATATTTATGTGTAAATATGTTAAAGGACAAGATGTGAAAATTAAATAGTTGGGCTTAATGTTTCCTTCTTTTCTTTTTTTTTTATTACATGAAAATAGTGTGTATTGTTCACATGATGAGCCATTCCGTTTTCAGTTTAGTCTCTACATATATATTATCCACTAAATATTATTGAACCTTATAATTTCTATATATGAAAGTAGCGTTTAGTAGTTTTATATGTATGTATTCTCAGTTAAATGGATGAAATTCTCACGAAGATTAGATACATACATCATGGTACAGCAACAACCTGCCTTTAGTACAAATAAGCAATATATATCATTACAGAAAGGAATGTCCTAAAAAGCAGACATTCATTTTTAAGTTAGCTGTAAAAATATGCTAATAAACAGAGAAATACATGTACATTAATTGAAGATGGTTGGTTTAATTTGTTCTTTTCCTCACAGATTGATATCATTTAAGGGCGGAGTTCCTTTAAAATTAGGAAGCACTAGAAAAATACAACCAGTCTTCACAAAACATCGTCACACAAGCTATACAATGTAATGCGTGAATGGATTCGTAATTTCTCTCTCTGCCGTATGGTATCATAATGTGGTAATCTGATCGGTGATCATAAATATAATACCCGTAGACTAGCTACTCGAACAATACGCTATACACAGAATAGATCACGTTATAACAGATATACAATATACGATGAAACATAGGGAACCAGAATAATGCTAGATAATACTTTACTCCACAAGAATACTATTTTCCGAAATATCGTCATTTCATTCCACAAGTGTGGCGCATATATATCTGGTGCCCCCTTGTACCATTATTTATTTGTTCAAATAAATAAATTATTCCACAAACTTGCGAGCAGTTTACACCCATTGAGTCCAACGTAGAAAACAATAATATGAAACGAAATCACAAATGGTTAGCTGAATATTTGTCTGTCCGCAATCCATGACTAACCACAACTTACTTTCAATTACCTCATATCATAGCAAGACCAGGGTTTAAATGACGGTGTAAATGTATATGATACCAACTTTGACCTACATCATGTCAAGATTCCACAATCATTGATTTCAGTTGTTTAGAAGAACATTTACACTGAATAATAATCAAGAAAACTTGTATAAGATAATAATAACTGAGTAGAGTTTGAAATGCAAAACGGTAATTTAAAAAAATTCAATAATAATCAAATAAACGTGCAGAAAAAAAACAACCCCGAAAAATACCCATCAAAGGAATTAGGGCCAAGAAAGAATGAAAGATTGGACGAATCGTTTCTGCACGCAAAGTTCGTGGATTACCAATGCCTCAACAGTGTATAAAATATTGATTCGACAGCCTTTCGATTCACTTCATTTGACTGTAGGTTACTTTGGAGCGATGTGTCCACAGTTAATTAAATGCTCCTGTATAGAATTAGTAATTGTTTGAGAAAACAATGCGGAGCTTAGCTGCGCAGAATGTTTTATTCAACGATTTTGAAATCCATTTTATTTTAAGATTTCAGCAGCCATATCTCCTTTAAATTCCATATTTGAAAAAATGGGTATTCTTTTTTTACTGTCGGTACTTTCCAGTTCGCACATTTTCTCTGTACTTCGAAATGATGCCTTTGTTAAAGCTTACACTATGTTGTATCATTTTAAGTTGTTTTACCTGTGTATCAAGCTGTTCCCACACTTCGTCTTCTTCCAATGGTAGTGGCAAATTGTTGAAGTGTTGTTTGCCACCTGGCATAATAAAGTCATAAATAGATCCATGAGTATTAGAATAGCTCAATCATTCCTGAATTCCTAAGTATGGTAGACCAAATTGAAACTGCAATAGACTTGATCGTTTTTATCAAGATGTAACACAACCATATATATATATATATATCAAATTTCAGTCAGCTGTGTGACATCTCCAGGTGAATCTACTTACCAATTCATGACAGTTAAACTTTATTTGATCTCTTCAGACTGTATTGGATGGTAGCAATATAAGCATGTTTTGTTAACGGGATTAATTTTTTTAAACACATAATGTTTCCCTTCTTATCGATTGTGTTTATATTCTTTTTTTCAACTAAATAAAAGCAGAAAATCTTATAGATTTTAGCTTTTTATTTATTTTCTCTCACCAAGATTTTACTCATATCGATTAGTTATGATAAACGAATCAAAGGTTAATTAAAAATGATAAACTTTTAACCAATCTACATGTATCTTTCTATGATTGGACTTTACATCTTTCATATCGTTCCATATTTATTTGCTTATCAGCGTGTTTTTCAAAACTTGACATTGATTATTTCTAACTTTCTTCATTATTTAAATTTTTCTCGGTGAATATATTTTTCTAAAGGTTTAATTTCAGATGTCAGTTTATGTCTTTATTATAACCGTTTCACTCATTGTATGGGCTTTTTACATAATAAAAAGTTGGAATTCGTCTAAACGATTAAGAAAAATATGCAATCAAGTAACAGTTTATGTTGTAAGATGCTTCAAGATGATTTTTCATTCACTCAAATGAATTTGTTAATGATGACAAACAGACAACACTGATCCCCAATAACTGTGACTACGACGAATTAATTGATATGTAGGTTAAATTTCTGTGAAATAGTCCTGCTTAACTAAATGAATTTCAATAGTTAGAGTATATATTTTTTCAGAGTGTTAATCCAGTCTTTTTCAATATTGTAAAGGTTCTTACCCTTGATTAATTTATTGAACCTGTTAAGGTTGTTCGTACGCTTTGTTGCTTTGTCATTATATATTACTAATACTCATGATCCCACTTTATAGTTTTATACGATTAATTCGTTAAAAATTCGCTATGATACATAAAATCATCAAGGTTTTTGATAATAGAATTGGCTAGATATAACTTGTATTTCAGTTAAGTTACGTTATAAAAAAGCACATGTATCTTTTACTTCAAAATGGTACGGTGTCTCAGTGGTTAATATGTTTAAGTTTTAGCCACTAAGTCGTAGGATCGGATTCCGCTCTGCCCACTTAGGTTTAAACAACCAGCCAAGTAATAATACAAAATTTCACACTCAAAGTGTGGTACACAGTCAAGCCCACATATTGGTACCTAATGAAGTGGATAATAAATAAATTGCTTCTTAATGGGGATTAAATCTTTAAAAAATTTATTATTATTTGATTATTTTTAGGTATGTCTCATCGAAGCGATGAAGTTCCGGATGTTGGATCAGATTTAGATTTAATAAATATCACTGTAGGTCGTAGATTATCTCGTCCAGGAAGTTCTTTCAGTTTACATCAATTAACCAAAGACTCAAAGAGAGTGTATACTGATGGAGTTGATTATGCAAAACAGGTAACTCTACGAGTGAACGTTTTGTACCATATATATATATATATATATATATATATATATATATATATATATATCCATTCCTTAGATGATAAACATTAAATGCTCGGCCATTAAAAAAATTTCTTAATGAATTTTTTTTCATCCCATTTTCAAATACTTTTCATTCTGTCTCCCATCAGAATAATCTGGTTCTTTCCTGAGCACTTCGCTATGATTGATTTCAACCTCTCGTAAAACTGATCCTTATCGTCGTCATCCTTATCATTGGTGGGTGCATAACATTGTTGTAATTCCTTCGTTCTTTGTTTTGAAGGATGCTTTGACGATCCTGAGTCCATGACATCGCCACTGAATAAGTGTATTTCGTGCTTCTTTGAACAACATCAGAGCAACTCCATGAGTGTGTGGAGCAAATTGTTCTTCTTGACCAGAGTACAGCAGCATCTCTCCCAAATCTATCCTTTTCTTCACAGCTTGGGTCCAATGGGTCCCATTGATTCCGAGCACTGCTTAGTTGTATTTCCTCATTTCCGTAGCTATTTGATTGGTCTTCCCAGTTTCCCACATTGTCCGAACATTCCATGTACCTCTATTAATTTTTACCATAATTGTTAGAAGGGACGTCGGCCTCGTGATTTCCGAAGAATCTCGGCTTTCGTCATAATTCTTCTGAATGAAGATCCTACAACTCCCATGGCAGGGTTTTAGTGGTTTAAATGATTTTTTCTAGTTAGCGTTTTGTAGCAATTATTTTTCCCTACGGGATGTGGTTGTTGATTCCATGCTCAACCCTCCTCCTTTATTCGAACTTGGGACCGATAGTAACTCTAGATGAGCTTCGAGCGGAGCTCAATACTATTTATAGGTCATGCAAAAGTCGGCATTATATTAAAACGCATTTTTTGGAATATTGATTGCTTTCAATAAGTTTTGAGTAAAGCATTTAGTTATTAAGGGAGAAACAAGTTTCAGCAATATATAATTCTAACTTTTCAGACCGAAATATTTAGTGATTTTAAGTTGATAGATTGAAAACCAAATACTATGGGCCTGCTCAATGGTCTACTAGGTTAAGCGTTCGCGCGCGAGACTGAAGCCCAGGAATCGAATCCTGCGAGCGGTATCGTGAACGCGCACTGCTGAGGAGTTCCACAGTAGGACGAAACGGCAGTCCAGTACTTTCAGGTTCTAGATGGTTGTCTAACATCAATCGGTTCATGATCACAATAAATAAGTTGAACTGTGATAATTGGAAGTGATGTAAATATTCCAAATGCCCTGGTATGGCCGAGAGTGGGATGGACCCGTTCTCCCTCTCGAAATACTCTCACACGGCCACGCGTATACAGCCTCTACCAGGGAAGTCCTACTCACTGCCTTCTCGTGGCAGGGGTGTTGTCTACAAAAATCAGAGTACGAAAAACGAATGTTCAGGTGCATTAACCGGATCCCGAAACAATGGTGCACATGGGCTCCAGTATCCTGCAGGAACAAATGGCGTATGAATCAATCGTTGGTCACTGGCTACCATGGGACTGCATCTCCTCACGATCCTCCATTGCCTTGTGGGTTAGACTTCTAGGTCGAAGGCTCAGGAAGTGGCCCCCTAAGATAACCACCTGCTTCGGTCTGGGCACCCGGGTAGTATCACAACCCTCACACAAATAAAATGAAAATGACGATATTTACCGAAAATTCTATTCTCGCTTCGATTTACAGTCAAAAAATTCATATTACTATCGTTATTATTATTATTATTATTATTATTATTATTATTATTATTATTATTATTATTATTATTATTATTATTATTATTTACTATGTCGTTTATTCACTCTCTTTTATTCCCACTTTATGTATCCTTATTTTTCGACTTATACAGCAGCTCGTCTTTGGTGGATATTCGACTCTATCTAAACGTTCTCGAGTCACTGCCTAGTTGAAAATTGTATGTTACCACCGAATATGAGTACTGAAGCAGTTTTTCTGAAACCACGTGCACCATACAAACTGGCTGCCTTCAACTTCCACACACTTATGCAGGTTGGACAAAAGATAGGGCTGGCTAAGTCTTTGAAAAGTCTTAATATCGACGTTTGTTGTCTATACAAAACCCGTATTCAAGACTTTAGTGAAGTACTACAAATCCCCTCTCCATCTGTTGCTTCGAAAAGCTTGTTTTACGTGCGTTTATCCGGAGACCCTGTGGCATCTTCGTCTGGTCTTGCTGGCGTTGGTGTCGCACTAAGCGCTAGAGCTGAGGTAGCACTAATCGATTGGATCCCCATTAACAGTCGGCTATGTGTTGTTAGATTAGAGAGTTCCATCAAAGTGAGAAGAAATCGGCGTGAGAAACGATGTATTTTCGTCATCTCCGTCTATGCCCTGACAGATTGCACCGGGTTTCTTCAGGCTCCGTACAACTCATCGAAGCCCGTCGGTCTACTCCGGGTGACCGTGCGTTTGACCACAAACGACGACTGTTACGTAAGGAAATCGGGCAAAGCTTGCGTAAGGACCGAAAAGCCTGGTGGTCGGAGCGTGCTAATGAGCTGGAAACAGCAGTTGCATCTGGTAACTACCGGAAGCTCTTCCAACTCATCCAAGCCACTGGCAACACGAAGTCTGGTGTGAGTGAAACAATCTGTAAGGATGACGGGATGTCAATCACCAACATCCATCGACGTCTTGGACGATGGGCAGAATTCTTCGAAGGACAGTTCAACTGGCCTGTTGCTCCGGCAACATCGGTCAGATTGTCCTGCCCTCCATGGCCGGTGACGACTGATCCACTAAATGAGGCGGAATTCAGCAAGGAACTCCATCTCTTGAAGCGCTACAAATCACCTGGCCCAGATGACTTACCTCCGGCTCTTTCTAAAGATGGTGGTGACTTTCTGACTAAGGAATTGACGACGTTGTTTACAAAGGTTTGGGAGCTAGAGAGTGTACCAATGTCATGGAATGAGTCGATAGTTGTCCCTATCTTTAAAAAGGGTTCACGTCGTTCCTGTGACAACTATCGGGGGATAGGTCTACTTCCGATTGCGTCCAAGCTATTGGCTTCCGTCGTACTTCGTAGGTTGTTCAAAACCCGAGAAAGATTGACTTGCGGGGATCAGGTTGGTTTTCGTTCTGGTCTAGGATGTATTGATCATATCTTCACCCTCCGCCAAATGTTAGAACACCGCCATACTTATCACAGGCCAACAATCGTAGTGTTTCTTGACATCACGGCTGCCTTCGATTCGTTGGACAGGGCTGTTCTCTGGGATTTTCTATTGAAGAAGGGTGTGCCTGAGAAGTTTATTAACATCCTAAAAGCCCTATATACAAACACCTCAGGCAGAGTGAGGGCATACAACCACCTTTCTCCATTGTTCCATTCGAGCAGTGAGGTTAGACAGGGTTGCCCAATCTCACCATTCCTCTCCAACTTTGCCATCGGCGAAATTCTTAAAACAGCTCTGATGGATGTAAGTAATGACAGTGTGGATCTGTTGCCTGGAAAAAGACTTCTCGACCTTGAGTATGCGGATGATATTGTCTTACTGAGTGATAATGCCCAAGCCATGCAATCCGCATTCAATGAGCGTCCGTAGTTATGGTATGTGCTTTGCACATTCGAAGTGCAAAGTACTTTTACAAGACTGGCAGGATTCTAATCCTGTACTCACTCTGGATGGTGAGCAGATAGAAGTGGTCGAGAAGTTCGTGTATCTGGGTAGCTGCATAAGTGCTGGTGGTGGCGTCAGCGAGAGCAGTTTTGCTCTATGCTTGTGAAACCTGACCTCTCCGAGTTGAGGATGTTAGACGACTCTCTGTGTTCGATCATCGTTGTCTCCGAAGGATTGCTGACATCCCATGGCAACACCATGTTAGTAATGCAGAGGTTCGGCATCGTGTGTTCGGGCACAGAGATGATAACTCAATTGGTGTCACCATCTTGAAACACCGACTTCGGTGGCTTGGACATGTTCTACGAATGTCGTCTCAGGGAATTCCACGTCGTTCATTATTTGCGGACTCTGGGACTGGTTGTAAAAAGCGGAGAGGTGGTCAGTGTATGTCATGGTGTCGTGGTCAGTCAGTCAGTCAGTAACAACGTAGAACTTCGTACTTACTTACATCAGTTCGATTTGCCACACCACATTAGCACAGAGATGCAGTTGTCGATTCAAATCCCGTAGTGGTAGAGGTAGTAAAAGTATAAGCAGTAATCGGGAAGAATTCAGAAGATTAGAATCTGGCAGAACACAAAGAGTGGATGCACCTGCGCCATTGCAAACGATTTTGAGCCATATCATTCAGGGTCTCTAACTCTCGGTCGCTATCATCTCGCGGTCTCCAACCAGGTAGTCTACACCTACCAACATGGTTCAGTCCACTTGTCAGTGACTTCATGGATTTGTGCCACGTTTTGGTCTGGCCGCCTTTAGCTTTCTTCCAACCTACTCCTACACCAAAAAACATCGTACGTCGGGGCAGTCGGTCGTTGGGCATACGTAACACGTGTCCCAGTCATCTCAACTGATAAAGTTCCAACACTTCATCAGTTGATTCACCATCCTTACCTAGTATCCGTTTCCTAACAACTGCATTACTTACTCGGTGGTCCCAAGATATACGAGCAATGTTTAAAAGACACCTATGATCGAATACTAGTAACCTACGAATATCCTCTACTCTTAACGGCCATGTTTCACTGCCATAAAGAAGAACGGAACAAACTGCTGCGCAGTAAACCCGTCCTTTGGTTGATAGACGGATATCTCGCCTACGCTATAAATGACGCAAGTTGGTAAAAGCTAGTCGAGCCTTCTGTATCCGTGCTGAGATTTCGTCACACACCAGACCACAAGGGCTGATGAGACTTCCAAGATAAGTGAAGCGGTCGACACACTCAACTACTTCACTCCCTATCACTAGTTCGGGTGTCGATGTAACCCAATCCTGAAGCAACATTTTGCATTTCGAGGGAGGGAATCGCATCCCGAACA